GGTCTGTAAATAATCGAGTCTGGACCAGACAATCCAGTGATTGACATCATGAGCATCGATCCACAAAATTGGGATAAGATGACATGCATCAACCAAGTCAGTGAGTCTGACCACCAGATCCCGTTAGTCGCCTCTTAACACAAGCATAGGCGCCTTTTACGGCAAGCATGGGTTGCTGAAGACCTATTCTACCCCGGATCTTCACAGACATGTCCTCCTTGTAACATGTGGACAAGTGAACTATGTAAAATTGGTCAAATACCTTGAATACAAACACAAATTTAATTAATTCCCCTTGACATGGTTCTGTTGGGAGATTCATCATAATGATAAAGTGGGGGTGAAACAGTCAGCTGGCCATAACTATAAGGTTAAGTCTTGAACCCCAAATACTTCATCATGTTGTGTTCTATCTCTCAAACCATAGTGCATGAACCTGAACATTATACCTGCTTCAAGCTTAGCATGACCCCCATGTTGGAAGTCACTGACCTTGCTGACCCTTGACCTATTATCATGACCCATTTGCAAAAGAACAAGGTCAGCAATTTCTACAGCTTGGGTAGGCCTGGCCAACAGATGAAAAGATTCACGATTCAGACCCCTGGACAAACAAAAGCAGAGCTATTGATTCTGTTGACCAGGCTGTGACCAGCCCTGGAGTATATCGGGGAACCTGGCTTCTGCCATGTCAAATACAGATTACTGATTTCCATGCTGAATATTAATAAGTTCACATGTTATTGTTTGGAGTTTATATACAAGTATTGCATTTTAATAAATATAGTGATACACACCAGAGTGAACAACCAATACAAGTGGTAGAATTTGCATGGAACAACAATGTTAATGTTACTTGATAAGGTTGATATTGAAAACTATAGCATGAAATATAAAAAGCTAAGCCACGTATATGAACACAACGTACTCATTGTATATCATGATACATACAGTATGGTGAATGACAAATAACTGCACATTATCATGACATACAGCATGGTGAATGACAAATAACTGCCTGTTATCATGACATACAGTATGTTGAATGACAAATAACTGCCTGTTATCATGATATACAGTATGTTGAATGACAAATAACTGCCTGTTGTCATGACATACAGTATGTTGAATGACAAATAACTGCCTGTTGTCATGACATACAGTATGTTGAATGACAAATAACTGCCTGTTGTCATGACATACAGTATGTTGAATGACAAATAACTGCCCGTTGTCTTGACATACAGTATGGTGAATGACAAATAACTGCCTGTTGTCATGATATACAGTATGGTGAATGACAAATAACTGCCTGTTGTCATGACATACAGTATGGTGAATGACAAATAACTTCCTGTTATCATTCTATACAGTATGGTGAATGACAAATAACTGCCCGTTGTCTTGACATACAGTATGTTGAATGACAAATAACTGCCTGTTGTCATGACATACAGTATGTTGAATGACAAATAACTGCCTGTTGTCATGACATACAGTATGTTGAATGACAAATAACTGCCTGTTGTCATGACATACAGTATGTTGAATGACAAATAACTGCCTGTTGTCATGACATACAGTATGTTGAATGACAAATAACTGCCCGCTGTCATGACATACAGTATGTTGAATGACAAATAACTGCCCGCTGTCTTGACATACAGTATGGTGAATGACAAATAACTTCCTGTTATCATTCTATACAGTATGGTGAATGACAAATAACTGCCTGTTATCATTCTATACAGTATGGTGAATGACAAATAACCGCCTGTTATCATGTTCATAACCGGGATGAAAACCTTTCCCCAAAAGAACAAGCTAAGAGAGCATGTGGCCTTCTATCAAGCTACCACTAAACTAGCTGAACATTTTGCTTGCCATAGGCTAGAGATAATTTCAAACACTGATATCTACCAACACACCATCCACAACAATCAATATGACACATGACAAACTATCTAGAAATACCCTCTGCTGAACCCCCAATTAAATTTGCAGCTAAAGTAACTCAGTGAACCAACAATGTAGTATCTCCCTGTGTCATGAGTCAGTACCATCAACAGGAAGGCTTCACTGCGACATCACAAACTGATTGTTGGTCTCGGTCAGGGTCAGGGTGACCAACAGTGGAGGCATGCACAAGTCATCCCAGATACTGCAGGGTTCGAAATTCCTTGTACATGTAATAAAAGTGACAAGGCACTGTTAAACAAGAAAACAGTGTCATCACTATCCCCCTGCCATGGGGCACATTACAATTTTGTTTGTTCCTATAATAGTGAATACAAACTATAAAAAAAGAATCCTATAAAGCCATAAGAAGAGACAGGCACTTATGCCGCTTTATGTCATTGGAAAAAAATATTAAATGTGACAGAAATAACTCAGTCTTGATAAGAATGTCTTAGATACTTGAGAAAACTTGTCTCCAAGGCACACACTATGTACCAAGTATAATAACACGGATCAAAGGCCATAACTCTTTAACAATGGATTTACAGGACCAATTTTCGAACTGAGTCTTGACAAGTATCTCTTAGAAAAGCATGAAAACTTTCATTCATGCAACTTCAGCACTTTCTGAGAAAACTTGTCCCTATTGCACACACTATGCACAAAGTAAAATAATTTCGCGTTCAAGATTATTGCACATATTTAGTGGCGTGTGAGCGTGTGTGTGTGTTTCTGCTTCTGCTCACAATGACTAGTTTGAACTAATGCTGGTCTTATAGTAATAGCCCACTGAAATTCCATGCCTCAGTTTAACATGGATACTCCATACAAACACAGTATACTAACTCTGGGTTTTATCCCCTCAATGAAATGCCAGGCAGGGTAACAACAGGTACCACCTTTCAACATTTTTTGGTATGACACGGTTATGGATCGAACCACTAACCTTCCGCTGTGCAGGCAAATAATCTATCCACCAGACAACAGAGGCAGTCCTTAGAACTCAGTCTCAATGAAAAGGAAGAAGGAAAACTTTCTAAGATACAGCCGGAAAACTTTCTAAGATACAGCCGCTTATTATTTAGGTCATGGTGCAATAGGAACTGCCATTCAATGAGTTTCAATCAATCACAATTTTTTTCATTGATGCAAACTTTACAGCAAGTTCATTCATCCTGATATATTTGTGTACGGTTTATCATTCAGATGGAGTTTTGTAACACTCTCGTCAGTCAGTCTGTTTGACATGTTTCTTGTATAGCATGTTTAGTGAATCAATAAGCTTAACGCTTGTTGTTATAACAATGTGCAATGGTGTTAATCACACATTAACATGGTTAATGCACCACTGATTGATGTTGAGTATTGATCCAGTGCCTGCGACAACCAACACAGAGGTTTGCTAATCTGAAAGAAAAGGTGTACTGTACGTGCTGTAGTGACAGCACCTTTTTGTTCTCCACTGATGGTGACTGACACATGAGTTGACTAGTTCCCTGACTGCTTACTCATGAAAGAAAATATTGTCATTGTTGTCACAGAGTTGTAACATTACTTTGTCACATCGGTTAATTCGTTGCACAGAATTTGTAACTTGCATGAATTCTATATGATGTCAACCACTACTAGAGATGTAACCAGTGCTCCTGAAATACCTTGCAGCACTGTCACATGGTGTTAGTATGCTAGATTTGCTAACATGGTTACCACCACAACTTACTGTGTGATAAATAATCATGTATGAAAACGGGCTGGGTAACATGTTTGAGACATGCCCAGTTGCTAACACAAGACATGATCCATCATGATCCTCATCAATATCCAGTCTCAGCAGGCATCACTGGTTGTTATCGATCAGCTAGGTTGAAACATGCATGGACATTGTGGAACGTATTACATTTAGGCATGTTTGCAAAGACTTGAGTTTAGTGACACCAAATCATAACTAGGGAGGTATTTTCATTTTTCATCAAGTGGAAAACCATAAAGAAATTGCAATTGTTCCATGCCATCACGACCATGTCATGATGTAACAACATTAAAGAAAACACCACTTACACTGGTTACCATGGTTACTAAACATTAACAACACTCCAAAATCCCATTTCTAATTCCAGAAAAGTAACAATTACACAGGTATTTACTACTGTATATCAGCTAATAACAAATTCTGAAAATGATCCTTCATGATCATATCAACTATGATCAAATTGATATCACCATATGAGGAATAATCATCACTACTAGTACTACCACGATTGATTTGTTAGATAACAAATTCAGTGATAGTATATTGTTTTTATAAGTGGGTTTTAAGGGGAACTTCATGCAGCCTACATTATGTAAATCAAACATTATGAAACATGAAATCTAACAAAGGGATATTGGTATTCACCAACATGATAAAAATCCCTCACTGATATATGTAAGTTGCCTAGTAAGATGTACATTTGCCTACCTCACATATCCGACTCAGCATAAGCATGATAAGGATCATGTGAAGTGAACATATTAAAGTTGGTTCATGAACCAATCTTTGGAGGATTTCCAAATTTTATCAAAGTGCAAACAAACGCTTAAACTTTCATGTTATCAGATTTTTGCTTATAAACTTTTACTTCATAGTTGACAACCGTGTTTTTATAAAAAATAAAACTACTTTATTACTTACCCTTGACAGTACATTTTTAAAAATGATGATATTGTATGACACCTGGAGCGGTATTAATATACAAATATAATGTACAAATCTTTACTCTTTTACCAATCTAGAATCACACATTTTGTGTAATATATATGTTTAAAACAACTAAAAACTACCCTCATCCCCAAGTACCTGAAAACTTAAAAAACAGTTAAACAGTTAAGTGTTTATCAGTTTATACAGACGGATGAAATAAACTCCTGCACTTTCAATAAGATCACTAGGCAAACTGTCACAAGACTTTCAGATGATTTCATCAACAAAACCTAATTCAAGAACTTTAAGTGCCCTATTATCATGATTATAGCAAAACAATCTACAGCAAAATTAAACTCACTCATGAGGCCTTTTTTCCCCTTTTTCAGTCACAAAATACTCTGGTTCAAAGCACCAGCCTGGAAGGTTCCTTCCCCAAAAACCTTGTGGCATGTGTGGTCCGTGTTTTGGACAGTTATTTGTAGGAGTTGTTAACTTGTCAGAAACATGTCCATCCAAATTGTCTGAATCTTGTTTTGTCTTTGCTTGCTTTGATTTTCTTTTCCTTGTTCTGTTGTTACTGGTAACAGTTTTACTCTTCACCTCATCGTCATTACCACTGGTATTGCACAAACATTCACTGATTTCATCTGTTGATTCATTCTGTAAATAATCTTTTGACACTTGGCAATTAAGATTTCTACCATTGGAAATGGTATTGGAATTGGCGCAATAACCATTCGCTGCTGCCATCTTGAGCACCTTAAATCATTGACGTTGTTGTGTCAAATGATAAAACACGTCGAGATCAAAACATCCTTGTCACCTGTTGTAATACAGGAGTACAAATGGCGATGATTGCCGCACTGCACAACTGTCACGTAGAGCCAGGGGTGATTGATGAAATACCAATTGAATGCGGCTCAACAGCATATGAAATGAGTCGCCATGTCGAGCTAGAACCGTTCCAAACACCAACGCATGTCATTCAGCCGAGGGTCCACTCCCATAAGAACACAATGCCAAGTGATAATGCCGCCCAATGCGCTACTCTCACGTGTGACCGGAGACATGCAGCACCTGTGCTGTTTATATTAGCCGCTGGAGAGAATGTTATTTTTAACTCCGGCTACACGTGGGTTAGGCATGAATGCTTCAGGTTGACGGAATGATAAGAACGTGACGCTCACCTTGTGACCCGGAAGTAAACAATGTGAACTCAAGCGAAGAAGAGTTTGTACTTTGACATCTAATATGTAAAATACTTACGGATTCTCTAGACGTGTATAACGGGTTTTTCTTTCAACTTCTGATGATTCTGGAACTTTATTTACACTTGTCGATCGCCGTAGCCTTGCCTTGGTTGCCATCTCTTCTGTTGTTAACCAGAGTAAAGCGGAAGACAGCCTTCTCGGAAATGACGTCAAATTCACACCGCTTGCAACAAAAACAACAGATAAACACATTAAATAACTCACATGACTCTAGTTTAAGGGACAAATTGAGATTTTGGCTGAACACAAAACAAGTACTGAGAGTAGAGTGGTCATATATATTTTGTGTTTATCCTTATTTAATGAAACTTTATTTTAGGTGATATATGGGATTGCAGGTGCGTTGTCTGCTTCACGATATTCCGTATGTTACATTCGAGGCCCTCTGCGTTTAAGAATAAGCGTTATTCATAAGCTTTAAATTTATTGAGGAAATTAAATCAAATTCAGTTTTGATGAGTGACTCGGAGTCTGCCTCTAAATCAGACGATTGCCAGAGCAAGGGAGAAGACCGTCAACATGTAACCGAAAACGGCAAGCCGAAGACCAAGTCAAGAGCTAAAGGTGGGTAAACAAACATGTAATCAGTCAGTAAAGTGTATCTCTGAAACTCTCGGGTAATCCGTAATTCCCTTTATAAAAGAAGACTCTATAAAATATGATTACCACTATTTTATTCACATATACAAGGACTTGAAGGGCTAAGGACAGACTTGTGAGTAACCCTCCCCAACCCCAACACCACTTTGACACTACACAGTTTTTATGACACTATTGGGTGCCGAACAGATTCTATAATTGTATCCAAGCATCTGAAAGGACTTAAATCACAGTAGTTTACATGCTTAACATAAGCTGATTTGTTTATGCTGTTTGTTCACATATCTTCATATGGCAATGCAAGCATGACAATTAACCAATTAAGATCACTTAAGCTTCCACTGGTGAGGCACTGATTGATCACTGCACATGGTGATGCGTCCAGTGTTTGTCTTCAGCTGATATTGATATATATTTGATCTTAATTCATTCTGAAAGTAGTGCATTTCAGTTTAATGGGTGCATTTTTTAATTAGCCCATAAAAATACCTCTTAACATTGAGAATATTATAAATTTTGGAACCTAAATCTGTAATTTTCTGTAGTTCTAATATTCTTCACAAAAATATATGAGTTATTCCTGATTAATGCCAGACATAAATGTTTCCCTCTGCATATTCAGATACTGCTAATCCTATTTATAAATTCCTTACAACACACCACAAAGTTTAATATGAAATCTGATTGCCTATTTATCATATACATTTGCACATAGGGATTCCCTTCCACATTGCCCTTCACTGTGCACGCAATGTGCATTTGTTGACAGCATAAAGGAAGTTGACACATTTCCCACAGCATACAAAAGCAAAATGAATTGCAATTGCCATATATATATATATATATATATATATATATATATATATATATATATATACTAAATAAAGCTGGAAAGAAAATAAATATTTAGATCTATGCTCATATTAACATGATATCTATTAAAGTGAATAAAATTAACAAAGTCTAGCTTGCTTAATGTATCTGTTAATTATTACATCACATGCATCATGTTCATAAATGTATTATCAAACATGTATTTTCACATCTTTCTGGTCTTGTTTTGGATTTCATGGGGGGAGGGGGGATCTATTTTGCTGCGTTATAGTTGTGTTTGTATGTAATATGTGATATTTCCAGTGTTCAGCAAGCGTCATAAAACTCATGAGATCCAGAAGGCTCTGTTCAAAGACCCAGTAGATGTAGCACGCCTCAGACAGCTGTCCATCAGCAGGGGTGGGCTCATCAGTGATGAACTTCGGAGGAAGGCATGGCCAAAACTCCTGGGAGTTAATGTCTTGGACATTGACGAAAAGCCATGTAAGCATTGCAAATTTTAATTGTTGTATTTAATTGTTATTTAATTTAAATACATGGATATGACATTGCATGAAAAGGACCAATTAATAAAATGATAGTTACAATGGCTATCTAACAAAATATTGACGTTATTTTTATCAGTCTACCATGATATTGAGTGAGTGAGTATGGTTTTAAGCCGCTTTTAGCAATATTCCAGCATCATCACGGCGGGGGACACCATAAATGTGCTTCACACATTGTGCCCATGTCGGGAATCAAACCGGGATCTTCGGCGTGACGAGCGAACGCTTTAACCACTAGGCTACCGGACCACCCCTACCATGATATTGAAGAATGCTTGATTTTGATTGGTTTAAAAGAGGTATCCATTTTCCTAGACCCATTGGCAGCATACACATTGATGCATATAACAATGGCTGGCGATACCCCATTAGACTATTGCATATGTTCAATATCGGAACAGCAGCTTATCAAACACAATGAAATCTATTTCAGAACACACACAATTAAGTAAACCACATACTAACCACTGTGTCAGGGCCACATACTCATAGGTCACAAAAATGAGCATTCTCTCTTCATGCTCTTGTGTGGTCGTCTCAGCTATAAACAGTGGTGATTGCCATACTTCAGCTGTTGCCAATGATTGTGCCAGTAGGCTAATTTCCACCAGTACATCAATAGGCTAATCAAAGACGTATATAGAATGTATGTACGTCCGTGGGCTAATGTTGAACATAACTACAGATCAATATTGTCCTCTGAGTTCATGCAATTTGTAAATATTACTGTCATCGTGAAGAACTATTTTGGGAGCCATGGACAGCGACTTGTAAGTCAGGTTCAACCAAGTGAAGTTCAGGGTGGAGGGTTGGTTGGTTGGTTTGTTGTTTAACGCCGCATTCAGCAATATTCCAGCTATATGATGGGGGGAGAAAATGTGTGTACAGCTGATTGCTATTTCCGGCTTAGTTTACGAGAAAGTACACATGGTAATCTTAATCTCTGCATGTGAAACAATGCCTATGAGAGGAGGAAATACAATTATAATGGTAAATCATCATGTCTAGTGATGTTTTATATCAAATTTCATATTTTTAATGACCAAGTTTGTAATTCAAGTTTGTAACACCTGAATTCACTGAAGGGATACGATTTGTGTGTTTTTAAAAGCACATAACACTCGATAAATATTTTTTACACTATGAATCATAAACAACTGCTATTCTAATCTTTTTTCAAACTGAAACGTACATCGTAGATCGTGTTAGGTAGGCAGAGCATGTACTGTTGGTCATCTACCCCCTATGACCATGACGACTCCACCTCCATTAACATGATTAAGACTCAACAACAGGAGACATTGTCAGTGCCCAGAGGGCATCACTGACCCAACAATGTTGACATTTGAATTTTTCTGAAAAAAATCCTGAAGTTGAACTATTCAGACTGGGAAGTACATTTGTCATAAAGTAATGAATGAAAGCTGTTCAATAATAGTAAGAATAGTAAGGCTGTTCACCTATTGCTGATGCTGTGTACATGTCATCGGGTGTAATTTCGTTTGTCTGCCATTCCGTTCCAGTTCGACAGTTGTATGCACCCGGTTCATACTTTTTTATGTAACCACGTGCTGTCCGTGTGCGTGTGTTGACACACTGCCATGCCTTGCCTATGACAATGAGGATGAACAAACTGCCATTAAATGGTCTGAATAACTGCCGAGGACTTCTTAGTCTTCTTTTCAACATTGATTATTTTCTGGTGTTTGAATTTTGAAGTTTTCTGCTGTTTTGAAATTTGAATTGTTTTGAAGCAAAGTTAGAGAAAGTTTCACTTTGAAGCTTAATAACTTCAGTAGTCTTGTTACTAGAAAACTGAAATAATTTTGACTGTTCCAAAATCATGAAAGGTCCAATCTTGACATGCTTGAAGTCTTTGAACTTGATAAATGCTGGAGTACTGTTATGTTGTTGTTTTTTTATCGTTGTTTATTGAGATACGTATCGTATTGTGACCAGAATATCATATCATAACTTCCTGCATTGTTACAGCCCTACTGTTTTGAAATTTGATGTAGTCCCACTGAGGATTAGAAACCTCACACTCCAAATTTAAATAAGAGGTGTCTAACCTTCAGTGGGACTACATCAAATTTCACAACAGTAGGTTTATCTTCTAATTGATTTAGCAGCACTGTTTTGACCTGGTCTGTTAGCATTATTTGTGACTGGAGCGACTACATAGTGATTCAATATCCAGAACTGTACTATTTGAGTGTACTGAGTGAGGACTATGAACAACACCATACCTGCAGAGTTGCATCCCTTTACCATGCCAGGATGTGCTTGTATGGCCTTGTTAATTATTTTTGGTCTCTATGCTATAGCTATAAATTACACACCTCTGCCCTACATGGGTTTTTACCAAAGTGGTAAATGACTGACATGCTTTACTTCAGGCTTTATTTATTCCCACATTTGTTTGTTTGTGTGTTTGTTTGTTGTTTAATGCCACACTCAGTAATATTCCAGTTATATGACGGCGGTCTGTAAATAATCGAGTCTGGACCAGACAGTCCAGTGATTGACATCATGAGCATCGATCCACGCAATTGGGATCGATGACATGCATCAACCAAGTCAGCAAGCCTGACCACCCGATCCCGTTAGTCGCCTCTTACGACAAGCATAGTCACCTTTTACGGCAAGCATTGGTTGCATTTAGCTGATACAGAGTGATATAACTGGATTACTCCCAAGCACCCACTCTTTAGGGATACCTTTGTATAGCATGATATCGATGTATCAATGAATTAATAATTCACTGCCAGAGAAACATTTACCTGTGTTAAGATTACCATGGCAAAGACGGACAATGAGATGGCAGAAAATTCAATTTGAAACATTTGATTGTCTGCCTAGTTCATATTTGGTATTACATAGATTAATTGCAGGTCTAGATAAGAAATATTTCATCAGTACATATACAGAGTAACTAATTGTGTTATTTATTGATATATTGATATGCATGTGAGTCCATACATTGATACTAAACTCTCCAATCAATGACACCCCTTTGTATTGTGTTGCAGCCCAGGAGGTGTTGACAGCTCATCGGGACTATGATCAGGTGGTGCTGGATGTCAACAGGTCACTCAAACGCTTTCCTCCAGGTTGGCCATGTTTGTTTTGTTGTATACGGCGCACTCAGCATTGTTAAAGATTCGTCTTATTAGTACCAATGCACTCAGCTATTCAAAGTTCAAGGAAGTCTTAAAATACATTCATAATTCATATGAAAATAGACCACCTCCGTGGTCTAGTTATAGAGGGTCCGCCCGGAGAGCGGAAGGTCAAGGGTTCGATCCCCGGCCGCGTCATACCAAAAGATGTTAAAAGATGGTACTTCTTGTTACCCTGTCTGGCGCTCAGCATTAAGGGGCTAAAACAAGGACTGGTCGGCTCGGAGTCAGTATATGTTAAATTGCGGCACTATAAATCGGCATCAGTACAGACTAGTACAAGCAGCCACACACACGCACACGCATGTGCACGTGCATGCACGTCGCTATATAATTGCGGTAATCTTGGCAAGACGTTAAACCCAATTTCACCTCACCTCATATGACAATACAAGGATTTATTGATAAGTCTAAGCTCTCATAGAAGGAATTTCATAATAGTGAAATCTTTTGCAGTGGGCAATATGTGATGTCATTGAGGTATATCCACAAAACTTGAGTGAATTGAGCAAACTGTCAACCAGGGTAACATGTCAGTAAAATAAGCACAGGTTTGTGATCTTAAGAAAATGGGAAAACTTGAGGAACTGCAGTGATCAAGTATTCACCTGGTTTGCAACCACAAGACAAATATTTGGCTCAAGGCATGGTTGACAACCCAGCTTTATTTTACAAAAAGATTCTATGTCAGCCTGTTTTCTGTAGGGATGGAGGAGTCCCATCGCATGGCCATGCAGGACCAGCTGGTAGACTGCATCATGAGGGTTCTTGTCAAGCACGAAGAACTACACTATTACCAGGTAACTGATGGGGTGCTCCTGACTGTGATAACTGACCTCATGCACTCTGTCCTATATGGACAACAGTTAGGATCTGACCTTTGAATTTTTGGGGGGGTTGATGGCATCCTTCTGAATAAAAAAATGAAATAAAATATTGGAACAAAATAAATGTTTTGCTGCACATGCTGGATGTCAGGGGAAAACGTGTTTGGCTCCACCTTTCAGAGTAAAATTGCATTTCTCATAGCAGTGACCAAAACATTCTCTCTCTGACAAAACTCCTAGGCCCATCCCAGCATGCAATATAAAGTGGTAAGTCCAGTTTCCACCCTTGCCGAACTAGGCTGGAATTACTGGGCTGGATCATAGCGCCACCAGTGGCTATTACCAGTTATGTCCCTTCTAAGTCTCTCCTATGGACCAATCAGATTCCACCTCTCTAGCATTTGCTTCAAACAAAATTGTGGCGCTCAGTCAGGACGATCTGATCTTTAATAAAGATCTATATTTTGATAAAACAGGTCTTACATCGCGAAGTGAATCAAATCATGTGAGCACCTTGATTAAAAACATGAAAAGGTTTTAAAATATCTTCAGACAATGAGTTGGCGATTCACATGCTTCGCAAATCATGCAATCGACCGAAATCTGCACAACAGTTTACGAACCAGCATGAGGACCGAAGGCTAGAGGGCTGATATCAGGGTCGAGGGTTGATATGGGACATGATATGAAAACTGCCATATTATAACCTCTAATTATCATCTATATACATAACATCAAGTTGTAAAATGTATCTGTTTGGAAATGAATGCATTTCATTTTCACCTTGTTTCAAAGAGATTGTCGTGTAAAAGCTAGGTGAGCAGACAAGGGGATAATTAACTAAGGGACATAACTCCAATTTCTTACGACCAAGGCTGATATCGATATTGCCCACTCAAAATTGCATTGATGAGCCTGGCATTGATAGGTATCGGATGGTATGAGTTATGATATGATAATATGAGTTATCCTATACCTGTCAAGGATATGAGGCATTTTGCATGTGCGATAGAGTAACATAGAAATGGTCATATCTCGGGGGTGTTATAACCAGACCCGTATTACACCCCCACCACCCACACCCTACTTTGTTGATATGGCTCGTCTATGCATTTTGAATGAAAGGTAAACATTCACCGAAAAGAATGCCAGATGGCGCTGCAATTTGTAAAACATTCCAAGACTGACACCTTTTTCTGCTGTGCATATGATGCTCAACATGATGACATGGAACAGTGGAAGTTGTAGCAGTATCACGAGGGGTACATTATAAGTTGTAGCAGTATCACGAGGGGTACATTGTAAGTTGTAGCAGTATCACGAGGGGTACATGTGTTTTTTTGTGTCCCGCTAGGTTTTACACCATGCGCCAGAGATGAGTATTATAAAACCTCATGAAGACGCATAAAACCACATGTACCCTCATGATTCTGCTATAACAAATATATGTTAATGACATGTTTCAATCTGCTATTGTAAAAGAATTAAAACAAATTGAAACTTGATAGAAAACATCTGTTCAATTGAGTTGAGGTTAATTTGTGCTATATATATGCCTCAGAAAAAAAACGTGCAATTTTTCCTTCAAAGCAGGGTATATGGGATTTATTCTTCTGCTCAGAAGTCCACATGCAACCATCTTCCCGAGGCAAGGGAGTTAACTGAGTATAAAAGTCCAGTTTCCACCCTTGCCGAACTAGACTGGAGTTCCTGGGCTCGATCGTAGCAGCACCAGTGGCTATTACGAGTTATGTCCCTTCTAAGCCTCTCCTATGGACCAATCAGATTCCACTTCTCGTGTCACTTGCATTTGCTTCAAACAAAATGGCGGCGGCCAGTCAAGATGATCTGATCGGTAATCAAGATTTAAATTGTGATAAAACGCTTACATCGCTAAGTGCATCAAATCATGTGAGCATCTTGATTAAAAACATGAAAAGAATGGGAAAATATCTGTTGACAACGAGTTGGCGGTGCACATGCTTTGCTAATCCTGTAATCGACCGAAATCTGCATTACAGTTGACAAACCGGATTTTCGATTTCGATGCACGATTTTGATTGGACTCTGAATAGACTCGTTAGTCCAGCCAAACTGTAACTCCATAATACCAGCCTAGTACGGCAAGGGTGGAAACAGGACTTTTATAGTCAGTTAACTCCCTTGCCTTGGGAAGATGCATGCAACCTGTTTTCTTCGTTTTGGGGTATAAGGGATTTTTCTCGTGCTCAGGAATTTATTTCCGTCTCAGGTTGGATACCAGGGTACATTGTATTTTATCACGATCATGTGAAGCAATCAGATATCAGCATTCTGACATGGAAGTATGATAAGACATATTAATTTATTATTATATTCAACTTGAAAGGGTAGTTAGTTGTTCCCGTTAGATGTGGCTGGGCAATGCAGGTAAATGCAATGACCAAACTATCGCATCCAAAAGTGGGTAAAAAGGTACAGATAGTGGCAATCAATTTTTGTGAGAATATACCTAAATATATAGAAACGTGGCCAAAAACAAATTGACTATCCACAAAAAATGTGTAGATACCCACTAAAAATCACCCTCCTGGGTAAAATAGGAACATGACAAAAAGCTTCTCTGGAGCTTTGTCTTTCCTATTTTGAGTTTCATTATGTATATGCAAGTAAGGACCTAAGTGGTAACATTTAACAATTTTTGTTGTTGTGACATTTGACTGTTATTGCGTACTCTCATTTCAAGTGATGTATTTTTTACCAAATAGCTGCTCTTTCATTTCAAGTGATGTATTTATTACCAAATAGCTGCTCTTTCATTTCAAGTGATGTATGTTTTACCAAATAGCTGCTCTTTCATTTCAAGTGATGTATTTTTTACCAAATAGCTGCTCATATTTTGTTAGATGAAATAAAGAACAGCAGGATGATGTTACATATATTTATTATGTGGGAATACATTGCCCAATGTTATCAGGTATTTTCATGCTGGATATGTGTATTGTTGAACCTAGATATGCTGTGTGAAACTATTCTGTTATTATTTCAGGGTTACCATGACATCTGTGTGACATTCCTTCTGGTTGTGGGAGAAGACATTGCCTTTGCCTTAGTAGAAAAACTCTCCCTCAATCACCTACGGTAGGTCCAAGAGCAGTTGGGGATTGTGTTCTGCTAGCCCCCCGTATGTGCACATACTGCTACTTAATGAAATATCAGTTGTTTCATCTTTATTATCCCCCGCCACGAAGTGGAAGGGGGATATAGGAATGGATGCCGTCCGTCCGTCCGGCCGTCAGTCACATTTCGTTTCCGGAGCAGATCTTGAAAACCGTTCCATATTTCTTCACCATATTTTGCACATTGATAGGTCTAGTGGTGAACTGGTGCCTTTTGATAGTTTGGGATTTGTTTAAAAAATTTTTTTTTTGAGTTTCCATGGCAACGACTTTGATTTAGACTGAAAATGGCGGTAGTCCTCGTTTCCGGAGCAGATCTTGAAAAACGTACTATATTTTTTTACTTAAAGGCCCAGTGAACATAGTTCACAGGAGCTAATGCATTGCACACACCCGACATGTCATATTGGCGGGGGATGTGAGTATTTCATGCTTGTTTAAGTCAACACAATTGAAATGATTCCTTTGACTCAGCTGTTCAAGGGATGCAGGGTACACATGCACTCAGGCTGATTCTCTGAATGGCTTTTTGATAGAGGGAGGTAACTCTTGACAACCAGCTTGTGGTATGAATGATGGATGCACCAATGCAAGGTTGTTTTTGAAGAAGGTTGTCAGATCGGTACATGACCGAGGGTGATACGAATGAGATGCCTCGCACACACCTCACTACTCACTGTGCAACTAGTATTGTAACAATGCTGATGGATGTTCTCAAGCTAACATTTATGTAACTGAATAGAAAAGTGAATGTTTAGGTTTTGTTACAAATACAGTGGAATAAAGGGGTCGATGTCCTAACGTGGGAGTTAATGATGTTTTGATTAGGCTAAAACAAATAATAGTCTTGGTTTTCACTCACCACCCGCATCATCATAAAGTCCACCGCATGTTTCAGTTTTATTTCCATTTTCCAAAAAATCAAAACATCCTCATACTTTAAAACAGTGTGATCCAATATAGCACACAGTTACTTCCCTTTACATGCACACTGCTTTACTGCGCATCTCGTGTTATGGTCATGGCAGCAATAGCAAATGCTTTTTTATGTATGGAGGCCCTTTCCCAGGTTGATGGTACACAATTGTTTATTTGGTTACATACTAGTTTAAACAAGAAAAAAAACGAGAAAAAAAAATGCCCACCCACACTATATTTTCCAAAGTCATTGCCTGAGAACCAATACTGTTATTTTTTTAAGCTTACATGTAATCTGTCACTTGAGATGATTGTTAAGGGGTACTAGAATTTTTTTCCAACAATAATATCATGTCTGTCATACTATTGATGGGTTTGAAAAAAATATTCACATTTGTACTTTCACAGGTGGATTAAAATTGTGTCTTTTGTACCCACATTCCATTTAGCTGTGTTTGATTGCAGAGACTTCATGGATGCCAACATGGATCGGACCAAACATATGTTGAATTATCTGTATCCCATCATTCACAAAGCCAATCCTGAACTCTGCGCGTATATGGAAAGGTACTAGGTTTACCAATAATAAAAATGACTAATACAGATTAAACACTGCATTTAAGAACTGCCAACAGGATAAGAAACATTTCTCATGCATGTATTCAAATCATGACACTATTTTCATAGTAATGAATATAGTTTCAATGGTAAAATAGACCATTGGAAATATTAATGTTCCAGCCTAAATTGTGTATTTCTGTTCCACAACTCTATTAAGAAGCAGACACAGGATTTTGAGAGAGGTAGAGGGTGAACATAATATCCAAATCATGAGGTGAACAAAAACATGTAATTGGTTGACACATATGTTTTGGGAGTTGTGATGCACTAGTGCTGTCCCTCCCCTGATGCTACCTGGACCACTTGGTCTCCCCACCCTTCCCTATGATAGATGTACCGCCCTCCACCCCCACCTCTTGATCCACCAGTGCTGTCCCTCCCCTGATGCTACCTTGACCACTTGGTCTCCCCACCCTTCCCTATGATAGTCGACCGCCCTTCACCCCCACCTCTTGATCCACCAGTGCTGTCCCTCCCCTGATGCTACCTTGACCACTTGGTCTCCCCACCCTTCCCTATGATAGATGTACCGCCCTCCACCCCCACCTCTTGATGCACCAGTGCTGTCCCTCCCCTGATGCTACCTTGACCACTTGGTCTCCCCACCCTTCCCTATGATAGATGTACCGCCCTTCAACGCCACCTCTTGATCCACCAGTGCTGTCCCTCCCCTGATGCTACCTTGACCACTTGGTCTCCCCACCCTTCCCTATGATAGATGTACCGCCCTTCACCCCCACCTCTTGATCCACTAGTGCTGTCCCTCCCCTGATGCTACCTTGACCACTTGGTCTCCCCACCCTTCCCTATGATAGATGTACCGCCCTTCAACGCCACCTCTTGATCCACCAGTGCTGTCCCTCCCCTGATGCTACCTTGACCACTTGCTCTCCCCACCCTTCCCTATGATAGATGTACCGCCCTTCACACCCACCTCTTGATCCACTAGTGCTGTCCCTCCCCTGATGCTACCTTGACCACTTGGTCTCCCCACCCTTCCCTATGATAGATGTACCGCCCTTCACCCCCACCTCTTGATCCACCAGTGCTGTCCCTCCCCTTATGCTACCTTGACCACTTGGTCTCCCCACCCTTCCCTATGATAGATGTACCGCCCTCCACCCCCACCTCTTGATCCACTAGTGCTGTCCCTCTCCTGATGCCAGTCGTCTAAGGTGCTGCAATTCTTTGTGTAGAGTTGCTTCTCTTGGGCACGCCAGAAACCTGTGATCAGGGGTTCAAATCTCGGTTCGCCCGATTATATTTCTAGGTTTGTCAGCACCATACCCATACTCATGGGTTTCACCGAAGTGGTAAATGCTTGAGACCTGCATCGCTTTGGACTTTCCTCCCACTTTAGCTGTGATGCTGTGATATAACTGTAATACTGTTAAAAGCAGCGTTAAACCAAACTCACTCACTCACTCAATGTCCAGTTTGAGCTGGTGTTTCACAAACTGTTAGTGTTTTCCTAAAACATATATATATGCACATACAATACACACCTATGGACAAGGGAAATGAGTGTGTTAATGATGCCATTTCTGTTATAGGGCTGAGCTAGGCACCATCTTCAGTTTAAGTTGGCTCATCACATGGTTTGGTCACACTGTGAACGACATAAAGCACATCGTCCGCTTGTACGACTTCTTCATCGCCTGTCATCCCCTCATGCCTATCTACCTGGCAGCTGCAGTGAGTACTACCTACACCCCTCTGTCAGGCGGAACACATCCAGGTTCCACTGCTTCTCATACTGGGGACTTTGGCACAACAGTGTTGATGTGTGTGGCTAGTACTCCCACCTTTGAAGGCCCACCTTCTGCGGCTGGGTGATCAGTGTGTCATCACTGTGCCATCATTAGACTACATAAGAAAGACACACCGTAGCTAAATATTGCTAGTACTCACAACTTGGAAGACCCTCCATCTCCTGCGACTGAGCTGATCAATGTGTCAATTTTCGTGTTTCAATTTTAAGAGTTGCATCCCTTAGCCTTGCCAGGATTCACAGTTTGTGGGTTTGAATCCAGATTTACTCTGATTATCATCCTTGGTCTATCAGCACCTTTTGGGTTTTAGCAAAGTTATACAAGTTTAGAATCTCTAAGTCATATCATGCCACATTTAGCATGTGTTAGCCTGGCACACCATGATGTAACTGATGCTGTTAGTAGCAGTGTATAAACAAACAACCTACTCATAGAATGCGGGCCACATTTTTTTATCATCAGAGATTGAAGCATTCAAACGTGTTATTTATAGGTTTATAAATATGTGCTTATTTCTCAGACATGGAACTGGCAATTTGTCTAACTGAAATGTTTTGTACAATAACCATTAAGAGCTGAAGTACAGACCCCTTTGACTGATGCTGCCTGTCTTGTGCCTACAGATAGTTCTACACAGGGAGGAGGAGCTGCTAGCCTGTGAATGTGAGATGTGCTACCTGCACAGCCTGTTGTCCAAGATCCCTGATGACCTCCCGTTTGAACTGCTGATAGCCAAGGCAGGGGACCTCTACCTCCAGTACCCTCCCACCCAACTAGCCAACGAGGTGGTCATTAAGTACAGGGAAAGGTACACCAATCTCTTTCTTGTTTTGTGGAGGACTAGGACATAAATATATAGTTTTTAATGTTTTTCCGATCTGTTGTGTTGAACATTTTCATTTGAAAAGTTGGGTATTTTGAAGATATGGTGGTTATCTTAACTTTTATTTCAAGAGCATCTTTTAGATTATTAAAATAGCATTAAGATAGTATTATCATGATTATGAGTAACTAATGTTTCTAAAATGATGTTCTAAGGTTATTAACAAAGCTTTTATTATTATCAACAAATCTACATTGGGAGCATTCTTTCCTGATATAGAAGTTTTAACTAAAGAGGAAGATTTTCTTATTACTAAGACAGAGGAGTCCTTATACATGTACCACAAGAAATACCGGTTGCTTAGGAAACGGTGCAAGTCAAGTTGAACACTAGGCCTTGTTCCACAGCATGATCTTGGCCTTACAACTGTCGTAAGCCTATGTTAAAGTATGGGAGTTTTGAACATGTAAGTGCCATGACTGTCGTAAGTCTATGTTAAAGCATGGGAGTTTTGTACATGTCAGTGCCATGACTGTCGTAAGTCAATGTTAAAATATGGGAGTTTTGAACATTTCAGTGCCATGACTGTCGTAAGTCTGTATTAAAGTATGGGAGTTTTGAACACCTCAGTGCCATGACTGTCGTAAGTCTATGTTAAAGTATTGGAGTTTTGAACACCTCAGTGCCATGACTGTCATAAGTCTATGTTAAAGTATGGGAGTTTTGAACATGTCAGTGCTATGACTGTCGTAAGTCTGTGTTAAAGTATGGGAGTTTTGAACACCTCAGTGCCATGACTGTCGTAAGTCAATGTTAAAGTATGGGAGTTTTGAACACCTCAGTGCCATGACTGTCTTAAGTCAATGTTAAAGTATGGGAGTTTTGAACACCTCAGTGCCATGACTGTCTTAAGTCTATGTTAAAGTATGGGAGTTTTGAACACCTCAGTGCCATGACTGTCGTAAGCCTATGTTAAAGTATGGGAGTTTTGAACATGTCAGTGCCATGACTGTCGTAAGTCAATGTTAAAGTATGGGAGTTTTGAACATATCAGTGCTATGACTGTTGTAAGTCTATGTTAAAGTATGGGAGTTTTGAACACCTCAGTGCCATGACTGTCGTAAGTCAATGTTAAAATATGGGAGTTTTGAACATTTCAGTGCCATGACTGTCGTAAGTCAATGTTAAAGTATGGGAGTTTTGAACATATCAGTGCTATGACTGTCGTAAGTCAATGTTAAAGTATGGGAGTTTTGAACACCTCAGTGCCATGACTGTCGTAAGTCGATGTTAAAGTATGGGAGTTTTGAACACCTCAGTGCCATGACTGTCATAAGTCAATGTTAAAGTATGGGAGTTTTGAACACCTCAGTGCTATGACTGTTGTAAGTCTATGTTAAAGAATGGTAGAGTTACAATCATCTTAGTGCCATGACTGTCGTAAGTCTATGTTAAAGTATGGGAGTTTTGAACACCTCAGTGCCATGACTGTCGTAAGTCTGTGTTAAAGTATGGGAGTTTTGAACACCTCAGTGCCATGACTGTTGTAAGCCTATGTTAAAGTATGGGAGTTTTGAACATGTCAGTGCCATGACTGTCGTAAGTCAAAGTTAAAGTATGGGAGTTTTGAACATGTCAGTGCCATGACTGTCATAAGTCTATGTTAAAGTATGGGAGTTTTGAACATGTCAGTGCTATGACTGTCGTAAGTCTGTGTTAAAGTATGGGAGTTTTGAACACCTCAGTGCCATGACTGTCTTAAGTCAATGTTAAAGTATGGGAGTTTTGAACACCTCAGTGCCATGACTGTCGTAAGCCTATGTTAAAGTATGGGAGTTTTGAACATGTCAGTGCCATGACTGTCGTAAGTCAATGTTAAAGTATGGGAGTTTTGAACATATCAGTGCTATGACTGTTGTAAGTCTATGTTAAAGTATGGGAGTTTTGAACACCTCAGTGCCATGACTGTCGTAAGTCAATGTTAAAATATGGGAGTTTTGAACATTTCAGTGCCATGACTGTCGTAAGTCAATGTTAAAGTATGGGAGTTTTGAACATATCAGTGCTATGACTGTCGTAAGTCAATGTTAAAGTATGGGAGTTTTGAACACCTCAGTGCCATGACTGTCGTAAGTCGATGTTAAAGTATGGGAGTTTTGAACACCTCAGTGCCATGACTGTCGTAAGTCTATGTTAAAGTATGGGAGTTTTGAACACCTCAGTGCCATGACTGTTGTAAGCCTATGTTAAAGTATGGGAGTTTTGAACATGTCAGTGCCATGACTGTCGTAAGTCAATGTTAAAGTATGGGAGTTTTGAACATATCAGTGCCATGACTGTCGTAAGCCGATGTTAAAGTATGGGAGTTTTGAACATATCAGTGCTATGACTGTCATAAGCCGATGTTAAAGTATGGGAGTTTTGAACACCTCAGTGCCATGACTGTCATAAGTCAATGTTAAAGTATGGGAGTTTTGAACACCTCAGTGCTATGACTGTTGTAAGTCTATGTTAAAGAATGGTAGAGTTACAATCATCTTAGTGCCATGACTGTCGTAAGTCTATGTTAAAGTATGGGAGTTTTGAACACCTCAGTGCCATGACTGTCGTAAGTCTATGTTAAAGTATGGGAGTTACAATCATCTTAGTGCTAGGACTGTTGTAAGTCTATGTTAAAGAATGGGAGTTACAATCATCTTAGTGCCATGACTGTCGTAAGTCAGTGTTAAAGTATGGGAGTTTTGAACATATTAGTGCTATGACTGTCGTAAGTCTATGTTAAAGAATGGGAGTTACAATCATCTTAGTGCCATGACTGTCGTAAGCCTATGTTAAAGTATGGGAGTTTTGAACATGCCAGTGCTATGACTGTCGTAAGTCAATGTTAAAGTATGGGAGTTACGATCATCTTAGTGCCATGACTGTTGTAAGTCTATGTTAAAGTATGGGAGTTACGATCATCTTAGTGCTAGGACTGTCGTAAGTCTATGTTAAAGTATGGGAGTTACGATCATCTTAGTGCTAGGACTGTCGTAAGTCAATGTTAAAATATGGGAGTTACGATCATCTTAGTGCCATGACTGTCGTAAGTCAATGTTAAAATATGGGAGTTACGATCATCTTAGTGCCATGACTGTCGTAAGTCTATGTTAAAGAATGGGAGTTACTATCATCTTAGTGCTAGGACTGTTGTAAGTGATAGGTAGGCAAAGATCAATCTTCAGATATTTCCTTCCTGTTTCAGCACCTCGATAGCCAAGAAATTACAGCATGCAGCAAGAAATCAAAAGCCGGACAGTCTTCTGAAGAGGTTGCGCAAGCAAGGGGCACGGGCGCTGGTCTTCCAAGATGGCAGGAATGTCGTTGTGAAAGTTACTGTGTGGACGCTCAGTGCTGTGCTTAGTGCCGCAGTCTTTGCCGTTCTCAATGCCGCCACAGACTGGGACTGGATGGACTGGGATCATTGGTCGAGTTGGTTCTGATTGGTTAATGGCAAGTCATGTGATAGATAAATTATTTTAATTGTTTGACAGTGTTCAGGAATAGTTTATTTTGGTTTTACTATGTATGAGAAATTTATTTGGTGTGAATGGAAAATATGTTTATATGAGTTAAGATGAGTTGTGATGTTCTTTATTTTTGGAAGCATTATTTGTAGTTTATGTGGCATTGGTATGATTAAGGCATCTTATGTGAAAGTTTTATTCTCTTAACCTACTAAAACAAAATGTATGAAAGACACCCATGTATTTCAAATCAAGAGTTCATAGAATTGAGACTGTGTTGCTAAAGTAAACAAATGTGCCAACAACATCTTATATTAGCTCCGGTGAATCTGACTTGACATGTCATTGCGATTTTCTTGTCATATGGTAAACTATTTCCAGTGCTCTCAAACATGATTTTAATTAATGCAGCTGTGGTATTAAAGATGTGCTTCACCTGGATTATGATCCTTGGCTGGTCAGTACAAGAGTCTGTGTTTATTGGCTAGTCAGCACAGGAGTCTGTGTTTATTGGCTGGTCAGCACAAGAGTCTGTGTTTATTGGCTGGTCAGCACAAGAGTCTGTTTTTATTGGCTGGTCAGCACAAGAGTCTGTGTTTATTGGCTGGTCAGCACAAGAGTCTGTGTTTATTGGCTGGTCAGCACAAAAGTCTGTGTTTATTGGCTGGTCAGCACAAAAGTCTGTATTTATTGGCGGGTCAGCTCAAAAGTCTGTGTTTATTGGCTGGTCAGCACAAGAGTCTGTGTTTATTGGCTGGTCAGCACAAGAGTCTGTGTTTATTGGCTGGTCAGCACAAGAGTGTGTTTATTGGCTGGTCAGCACAAGAGTCTGTGTTTATTGGCTGGTCAGCACAAGAGTCTGTGTTTATTGGCTGATCAGCACAAGAGTCTGTGTTTTTGGCTGGTCAGCACAAAAGTCTGTGTTTATTGGCTGGTCAGCACAAGAGTCTGTGTTTATTGGCTGATCAGCACAAGAGTCTGTGTTTATTGGCTGATCAGCACAAGAGTCTGTGTTTATTGGCTGATCAGCACAAGAGTCTGTGTTTATTGGCTAGTCAGCACAAGAGTCTGTGTTTATTGGCTGGTCAGCACAAGAGTCTGTGTTTATTGGCTAGTCAGCACAAGAGTCTGTGTTTATTGGCTGATCAGCACAAAAGTCTGTGTTTATTGGCTAGTCAGCACAAAAGTCTGTGTTTATTGGCTGATCAGCACAAGAGTCTGTGTTTATTGGCTAGTCAGCACAAGAGTCTGTGTTTATGCCCTGCATAACTCACGATGCCCTCTCACTTTAAGCTGACACTACGTAATATGAGTTAATCAATTAATAGTTAATAATGGTATAATCGATGGTTATGAAAATCAACATGATTTAAAAAGTATAGTTTTCAGTGTAACCGGCAAGGGGAGTCTACAGTTTTTATTTCATGTTTTATATGAACATTCTTGAACGTACTCAAGTTTTCATTTCTGCATAGAATGTCCTTTAATCTGTGCCTTCAACTCATTATTTGATCATTACCCGTTGCTTACAGACATAAATAACCCTGTCTGGGTTCTGGGTTAGAATTTGCCTATGCTGGCTGTAAGAGGCAACTGGATTGGGTGGTCAGGCTCGATGACTTAGTAATGTATTTTCCAATCTCATTGAAATCAGATCTTAGTTATCGCTACCGCTAAACAAAGATCTGAGGACATCCCATTAGGGGTCACATCTGAATGACCTTTCATCCGACCAATCAGAGCGTCGCTTACCAGAACATGAAAGTGACAGTCGGAATGTGTTTTCTCATCATGCAGCCTCGAAAACTTTAAAGGGCCACTGATCTAAAGCAATTCCCTGGGAATGGTTGTTGCCTTTGTTATTGTTTTTTCCCGTGAGTACCCGGATGATATAGCAGAAACCTAGACTAGTTCGCGACCTGTGCTGCGCAATTCGTAAGCGCGTTTGTCACTTTTATTGATAGTATAAGGGCGTATGGTCACATTGATCAACAAAATGAAATACAGTTTGGGAAATAATAAGGAAATGTAGGTATCTTTGTGGGTAGCATCACTAATGGTGACGATGTTTTGTCACTTGCTTGGTAATTGTGCGATTTTCGTTTACACTATTTTGACTTCCAACACAAAGTAATTATTTCTCCCGAGCATTGCTTATTTTATCGTGTTTATATTTTTAGTCAAAATATGCTCAATTTTCACTGAGGAAATTTATTAAACGCCTGAATATGCAGTTATTTTTCAAATTGACTGAAAAATATGTCAATCTGTATTTTTATGACAAGGAATTCCAAACATTTGTGTTTAATATCATCACCTAGAGACTGAAAATGTCACGATGAAAAGTACATTAATTTTCTATATTGTTTGGCTTCCAATCCTACATAATAATCTATTGTGATGTTTTAGGCCCTTTTGATCATCTTAGTCAATTTTAGTCAATCTGTTAAAGAAATGGACAAATATTTCAGTCAACCAGGAACAAGAATGAATCTGTCCATTGCTACAGTAATTGAAGGAAAACAAAATGCAAATATCATAATTACAACCTACCAAATATGTGTATAATTTTAGGCAGCTTCCTTGTTCCAGGTATGTGTCCGCGAATATCCACACAAAGGAACAATATCCCACACGTCTGCAGCTGTACAGAAAACATATTCGATGTCACGTGTCTCTGTAACAATCACATATTTTAAAATGTATACATCTTTCGGGATATTATTACCCGTGTTCGTTTCGTGTCAAAGGTCGGCTGAGAAAGCCCACGTGACAACTATTTTCATAACGTCCGAGGTTCCTAAAAAAATCCATTGAGTTAGATAACAATGAGCAATCAATCAACGTATTATCGGTTAACCCTTTGAACAAAGTATGTTGTTTTCACATTGTCACTTCACGCCATAATATGAGTGTATTCCCTTTGTTTTTGTAAACCTAGACTCACTTTTGATATATCCACTGTAGATAACAGTGATTAATCAATCAGTGTATTTTCTGTTAATTCTTTGATGACTTGGAACGATCCATTGATTTACAAAAAAGTAGATCAACTGATCATTCATCTCTTGCTGGGCTGCCACGTGCATATAACATAACACACATTTCACCTCACTTCAAACCTTCATTTAGATTGAATAATTACCCCAGACACAATAAATGCCAAATGGGAACTTGTGTCGGGTATTCTGAGTGGCGCTACCACTAATTATACCAGTAATAAATTCATTAACTGAGCATCAAGTGAATGACGACAAATACACAAGTGTAGGGTTATACCAGAAAATGTAGATGACAACAAGGGAGTAGTAATCGTATTATCCACGCAATCCGAAATTCGAAATTGCTTCCACTGCATGGATACTTTTTAAAATTATTAAACTATAACGATCAGGGGTATTTCCAAATGACGACATCCGAGCTCCTCTGTTCTTTTTGTCTGTTTGTTTTGGCTGAAGAAATTAATTAACATGCGCCCTTTGTCGAAGTCTTTATAGATCACGGTTAACCAATCAGTGTTAAAAATGAGTAAAACAAATATTGCCTCCAAGTTTATTTAGCTGTCCTTGCAGATGGTAGCCCAGTCTCTTGTCACGCTCAGCTGCATTGCGTATCATCCGGGTACTCACGGGGAAAAAACAATAACAAAGGCAACCACCAGTCCCGGGGAATTGCTTTAGATCAGTGCCCCTTTAAAACGGTGTATTTCAAACGATAGTTACGGGCTTCACGACTGAATCTATACAATCTAGACCATATATTAGCCTTTCGAGAATGTTCTTTTGTTCAGGTTTCAAATTTGTAAGCAAGAATTTGTCAAAGTATGTTTCGAAGCGTAGTCGCCGATTTGAAAATAGTGCCGTAAAGCACAAGAAAGCTGCCTTCTGATTGGCTAATGTCGACTTCTTGTCAGTATTTCCATTGGTCGGTCAGAGTTCACGAAAGGTCGGTTTATTTAGCGGTAGCGAGAACTAAGATCTGATTTTAATGAGATTGTGTATTTTCAGAATGTACAATCAAAATTTTATCATTTTTAAGTTTATGTCAGTTATGATATGTTGGTTGATGGCATATCACTGACCTCAAAAACATAGATCGATCACCATGATATCTATCACTGGATTGTCTGATCCAGACTCGATTATTTACAGGCAGCCATCATAGAGCTGGAATATTGTTGAGTGTGGCATTAAACATCAACCATTAAACTGTTTGATTGGCATTCTAGAAAATGGTGAGTTGAAAATAAGAACATACAACTTTATGGATAACAACTTCTGGTTTATTGCATGTAGCGATGTTTTGATGTAGATTCTTACACCATATTAAGCTGGAGAACGGTGTAAGAATCAACATCGAAACATCACTAACTGCAATAAACCAGAAATTGTTATGCGTAAAGTTTTACTACATACAACTACATACACTGCAGGCATGAATTTAAATGAGTTGCCCATTCCAACTGCCAAGTTGAATATTCCTATTGCCAGAGTATTCAAGGCAGATTAAGTAAATGTTTCCAATATGCATCATATGTGGATTATTTCTTTAAAAGAGAGCCCCAGTCTTGATTGGTCCTCGGTTTCACTATTGGCTAATGATCTTTATTGTGGGAAAGTCTTCTGTTGGAGAGATATCGATTCATGTGGCCGTTGTTTAAGATGCTTCATGGGCTGTTGTGTGTATTCACTGTAATGTGTAAGACTAGTCATCAGACTGGTCATATGTAAATAAGGAAGGTCTGGCTCTTGTGGGGCTGATACTCACTCACATCTATGTACAAGTCTATCATTTCATTTGGGGCACTGTATCTTATACCATGAGGCCAGTGCAATAGTTCCGGGGTTTCATACAAGGATGCAATCGCAGAAGACTAATCAGTGATGTCATTTGGAAAGTAACAAGAATCATGATACACCTTATTTCTAGTTATGTTTTTAATATTTTCCAAATTGAATCTGAGTTGTGACTGGAAAACATATCTATTCCTATGACTCTAGACACCAAGTGTAGGAGAACTGGGCTATCTATCACACAGGGCTGTTATTTGATTTGTGTTCAATAGACAATGGGTGGAAAGGTCTGATGCAAACCATTGCTTCAAATAACTTTTGACCCATCAAGAATTTACCAACATGTGGCTGGCTCAGATAGAGTTGTAGTCATTCACAACAGTATTGGTGCAAGATTTGTTATGTGCCATGTACCTATCCTAAACTAAGGCCATGTATACATACAAAATGATGAATGTATATATTATGAGAGTTAAATGGTTAAAAAATATTGACAAGCTACTAATTTCTGACAGTGTCAAAAAATATTTTTGTTGAGTTTAAAATCTTACCCTTTGAGGCAGGATGTGTCTCTGTAAGATGACCCTCTCGAGTGAAGAGCTTTATGTCTCATGTCATATCAAGAGATACGTAGTATATCACCTCAAAGTGTACAGTTGCCATGGTTACATCCCTAGACTCAGCCTCATTGTATAGGGCTAAAGGATCAGTCAACACTGATTAACACAGGCCCATAGATCAATCTGTTAGTTTGAAATTTGCTATACAAGTTTGCTATGATATATGGATAACCGTGACAGGTGTTAATCTGGTTTTAACTTCCTTGTTACTTCATGTGTACCAGACTTAGTTAATGAGCAGAAGTCCTTAAAGAGGGACTCCTTGGTCTGGTGCCCATTTTCAGCCTGGGTTGAGATGATCTGATAAAGTCCTGTGTGACACTTCATCGTCATTGCTTCACAGGTTTGTATACACTGCGTTCCTCCATCACAGTACAGACAACAGACATGTGTGTTAACAGGGCAGCGAGTGTAACTTTAGTCAGGTAATGCAATGAGGTTATTTGTAACTCATGGAAGTGAAATCAAGCTTCTCAATGCATTTACTGTGTGAACCCTACAGCCGCCTGACACTGAAGCATGTGTAGAGTAGATGCCACAAGGCTATGTAATCTAAGTATTCATTGGTCGGATCACACACTGGCCTCCCTCCCCCTGGAGCCAGGCTGTTGCTTGATTCCTTGGTTAAAAATACATACCGGTAATATCCATATGTAGTGATGGTTGGTGGAGGAACATAGTGTATGTGCAAAGCCTTGGAGTACTGATGATGATCATCATCATCATCATCCTGGCTTGAAGTTACTCTGTAACTGTTGAAGTGATGACGGTAGAAGGCAAATAAATGAATCAAAGTTACTGGGACTGCTAGTGGAGTTGAAACGTCCCCGTTTTTAGTTTTGTTAACTCCGACTACTTGATTCCCACACAAGTCAGGTTTCAACAGATTCCGCTGAATGTGTTTGATCACATGTTACGATTCCTGCATCACAACAATGATACGCAGTCATTCATGGTTTCAATGTTTGTTATAGTGTTAAGATATGAACAAAATGCTAGACTATTCCCTTATAAAATTCCAGTTGCCATGGTTACTAATTACGTCACCTCCAGTCTCAGGACACTGTGTAGATACTGTAGCCATTCCTTCAGAGACAACAACGGACCTGGATTAGTGCAATTAGCTTTAGATTCCATGTATTATATTTGTATCATAGTGTATATATCTCATTCTTCCATGTTTATGCTGTTATGAAGCACAATCAATCATTATGGAAGAAGTTAAATTTGTTACAAAATGATTGATTATGCTGGATATATATCA